TTTCTGCCTTTTGGTTTTTGTCACAAATCTTTAGTGAGTTTGATACTTTTAGTCTTTACAATCAAAAGTTTTATATTTTTGATGTTTTTGCCACAAATCTTTTATTAATTTGACACTTTTCGTTCTTGTACTAAAAACTTTTACATTTTGACATAAAAAAGAAAAAACCTCATTTTGAATTTTGTCACCATATTTTTCCCAATTTTGACAACTTTAACATTATTGTCACAACATTTTTGAATTTTCTCCAGCAGTGTTCATTCTTTTGGTTATACACTTTTGACATCTAATTTTAGAAGTTGTCGACTTTCTCCCTTATTTGTGGTGATATACAATTTCAGCACATATCTTTTAAAGTTTGCCAATTTTTTCCGTAATACCAAAAAACGGTGAAGCCGCGGCCTCTTTACTAGTTATTATAATGAAATAAACAAGAGAATACAACTCTACGATCTTGATGATCAAGTTCTTAATTGATGGTGAATGTTGGGTGAATGAGGCATGATATGTGTACGTTTTTATTTCATGATTAAAGAATTCTGATATATGTCAAATTGAATTTGGAGAAAATTTTGCCTATTTCATTAATCATTATTTAAAATATTTATATATAGTACATGATATGCGTATTGTAAATGGGATAAGTATTTAGTATCCCATATCTACATAACGTACACCAAGGAGATCATAATGTCATTAATTACACGATACACGTCCAGAGATAATATTGTTAAATATATCTTATCTTTACAAAATCAATAATATTTTACCAAAGTAATAAATACATATTCCGTATGAAAGTAATAAATATTTAAAGAGAAATTTCCGTACTAGCTAACAATACAAATTTTCTTACTATATTATAACTCTAAAAAGTAAAAAGTACTATAATAATCGTCCTGTATCATGAATTTACCAATCCGCCAATCCTTCACCCTCGTTTCTATACACCATCCATCACGGGTCTATCAATTCGTAATTCCACCTGGCATTTGCTTATACTTTTGGGCCCCACACTTTTTACAGGTGTAAGCTTCTTGATTTGCATGCCGTATGCCTCTTCGTATTTATACATTCAGAATAAACCCCCAAATCTTTCCAACTACATTACATCATACATTCACTCTGTTTTCTGCTTCCATGGCTGTGTCTCGTGTTATATCATGTTTGCTTCTTGTACTAGTGGCGGTGGTTCTACCTGCCGGAAGTTTTGGTTACCGGCGGGGGTGGGACCCGTTGATCCGGTCACCGGTGGATCTGGAAGAAGACTTGGAGTCGGATGGACAGACGACGGGAAACGGGACTAGGTGGGGGGTGCTCGTCGCCGGTTCAAACGGTTATGGAAATTACCGGCATCAGGTGACAACCAATTTTTCAAAATTTTATTTTGTGAATTAATTAAATTTTTATTTAATATTTGAGCTCATAATGTTTCTAAATATAATTTTATTTGAATCCGAGAATATTTCTGCTGGGTTAAATTTACGCTTATCTTAAGTCTTAATTAAAGATTCTAAATTATTATATTCGTAATTTGTTTATCGAAATTGTCAAATAATTAGTTTTGGTATATATATACATGATACAATAAAGTTGAATGTCGAAGTTAACTTTTCATTTAACCTAATTTCAGGAATTGTACTCCATTTTGTGCAAAATGCATCTTCTTTTCGATAATGGTATCCTTATGTTTATCTTATCTATTGGAGTATTTTTTTTTTTTTAATAACAAGAATTTGAGAAACAATAATTTGATTCTAAGTATCACATTATTATTTTCAATACTGGCATCAAAATTTTATTATCTACAAAAGTATCTAATTTGATATTACAAAATCATCGTTTAAATAGTTTCCTATCCATTTTATTTGCTAAGAACGTTGATAATTCTATAGATAGATACCTTGCTCACTTGGGAGTTAGCTAGATGTGTGTTAAAGTAATCAGTGCGATCGAGTATAAGTTACAATAGTCCGTTTTGACGTTTTTGGTAATAGTCATAGTTATGTTGCTTTTTAGTACTTTTCAATTCATTTTAAAGCATAAATTGTCAACCTCCAAATATAAAGTTTGGAGGATACAAATTCTCTCCGCTAGGAGAAATTTTTGGAAGAATGGATAAGTATTTCATTCCACCATATAAAACTCTTATTCTTATCACTTAATGGAGTAAAAATTGTAAAATGAATCGGGTTACTTTTGTTATCTTTTCTTTGTAATATGTCGTTTGTTCTAGAGTCTTGTTAGATTCTAATAAAATTTATGTCGTTAAAAAAAACAATTTATCTCTCCAAAATATCAATATGTCATCTCAATTTCTTTTGATCGTTGAACTTTTAGTTTGGCTTTTGTTAATGAAGATCTGAATTTTTGTACCACAGGCTGATGTTTGTCATGCTTATCAAATACTTAAAAAAGGAGGTTTGAAAGATGAAAATATTGTTGTGTTTATGTACGATGATATCGCGACAAGTGAGATGAACCCGAGGCCTGGAGTCATAATCAATCACCCACAAGGAGACGATGTCTATTCTGGTGTTCCAAAGGTACATACATCATACATCCCTCCTTATCTTTTAAAAGATTAAAATGGTATAATTTATTGTAGGACTATACTGGGGAGCATGTTACAGTAGACAATTTGTTTGCTGTGCTTCTTGGTGACAAAAAATCGGTGAAAGGTGGAAGTGGAAAGGTTGTTGATAGCAAGCCAGAAGACCGGATCTTTCTTTACTACTCTGATCACGGAGGTCCTGGTGTTCTTGGTTAGTCTTTAATAATTAATTTCATTTACATACATATATATATATATATATATATATATATATATATATATATATATATATATATATATATATGTTGATAGAAAACGTCAAATTAGAGAAAAGCTATTATATTTTGGGCAATGTTGTGGTTTAGCCTTACAAGAAAATGAGATACCAATCATATTGTACTTTTGAGTGTAGGGATGCCAAACATGCCTTATCTTGTAGCCAAAGACTTGATCCAAGTCTTGAAAAAGAAGCATGACATGGGTACATACAAAGAAATGGTAATCTAGACCGAGCATTTGGATTCAGATTCAATCTAAATTAAAACGTAGATGTGTATGATTATATATCTCTGAAGAAGAATTAATTAGTGTAGGTTATATACTTGGAAGCATGCGAAAGTGGAAGCATCTTTGAAGGAATGTTACCCGAAGATCTCAACATATATGCTACAACCGCATCCAGCTCTGAAGAGAGCAGCTATGGAACATACTGCCCGGGGATGGAACCTTCTCCCCCACCCGAGTATATTACCTGCTTAGGAGATCTATACAGTGTCGCTTGGATGGAAGATAGGTATGCACTTATGATTTATCATTTCATGCCACCATTTACTTCTACTCAAATTTCTATGAATTTTATTAGATTCTTTTTAGCCTACAACTTCTATGAAATGAGTTTTTTGTGGTTTGTTTTCACCAGTGAGACACACAACCTGAAGAAAGAATCAATTGAGCAACAATTCAACAAGGTTCGATCTAGACTTAATTAGGATCCAAGTTTATGTTGATTTTGGTTTAATGTGTTGAAGTTAATTGGTATATTTTTGTGAACAGGTGAAGGAGAGGACATCTAATTACGATACTTTCAATTCAGGTTCACATGTGATGGAATACGGTAGTAAAGACATCAAACCAGAGAAGGTCTCTTTATATCTAGGGTTTGATCCAGAAACCCTAAACCTCCCGGATAACCAGCTGATGTCATTTGAGAAGAAGATGGATGGTGTAAATCAAAGAGATGCCGATCTCATATTCTTGTGGCAGAGGGTAAGATGTCTTATGTGAGAAACAAAGCCTAAATTCCAAATGTTTTGACAATTTTATTTTGCTTGTATGTTCAGTACAAAAAGTCATCAGAAATGGAAAGAGCGGGACTTCTGAAGAAGATAACAGAGACCATGTCACATAGGGCGCATCTAGATAACAGTATTGAGATGATTGGAATGCTTCTTTTTGGACCACAGAATGGTCGTTCAATCCTCCATTCATCTAGAGGTCGTGGGATTCCTTTGGTGGATGATTGGGAGTGTCTTAAATCTACGGTATGTCTTATGGTTAAAACTGTGTGATTTTCAAATTCAGTTTTATATGATTGGTAATTTGCTAATATATATGATTATGGGTTTCTCCTTATGGGTTTCTCCATTAAAGGCTCGGTTATTTGAGAAGCATTGTGGGTCGCTGACTCAATATGGGATGAAGCACATGCGGGCATTTGCAAACATTTGCAATAAAGTGGTCGAGAAGGAAACGTTCGAGGAAGCGTGCATGGCTACATGTGGTGATAAGAATCTTGGGTCATATGCTAACAGCAAAACTTACAGTGTTTGATCACGTGTTGTTACTTATTCTCGTGTTTTGTTCGCTTAGCAATATTTTGGTGTTTTTTGTTTTTCTGTAGTGTTTTTACTTCAAAATAAACATGAAAGTAAATATTCTCAAAGGTTGTGTCTCAAAGTTGTTATATATGTACTAGTTGTGACAACGTTATATATGTAGTAGTTGTGAGACCGTGTACTCCACGAGTTGAAACAATAGCATATAAAAAAAACGATACTATTTTAGGCACTAATTTATCATCCAAATCAGCACAGGAGAGCCAAACATCTAAGAGCATCTCCAACCCACCTTCAAATACCATTTTTTCCCCCCATATTTGGAGATATGAATAGTATTACCCCATATATAGGGTGATACTATTCATATCTCCAAATATGGGGATGAATTCAATTGTCGGGTTTAGTTCCTAATTTTATATATTTATACATTTGTAGTTTATTTTATCTATTAGATTTAATTTAAATATAATAATTACATGACATAATGATTAAATGCATTATTTTACATAACTAGATGTGTTTCCCCCGCGTTGTGGGGGTTTGAAGATGTTGCTTTTGTGTGCAACTCTAGTCATCGCTTTAATCGGTAGTCACAATAAAATATGTTGCTATTCTCTACAATTCGTGTATTTGAAAACACGGTAAAAAAACGAATGTACATTGGTATTTTGTATTTTGATGATCCAAATTACATAAAACTGAACATTAAAATGAAAGTACATTACCCTATGTTGGTTGATATATGCCAAATTCCACGACCTGATGAAATTGTTGAAACAATTGTGGTGTAAGTTCCACTTCTTCTTTCACATTAGTTCTTCCAAACCACAAAACATCTGAAACTTACCATGACAGATTATGGCGTGATAACATGATGAAATTGGACCATGTCTGTTTAAATTATAAATTACTTAAAACAGCATAGTTCTGATTTATAATATGATCTAAAAACGATATAAGGGAGGAAAATTGACATAATGAACTGAAGACTGTGAAGAGTGCTTTCTAATTTATAGAAATTGACTACAATAAATTTGCATTCAAAATGACATTAAAAGGCACTCACAACATATTTAGTTCTTTAAGCTTTCGAAGATCCTTGGGTATGGGATCAGAGAATTGACCGTGGGCAAGTGTCCTGTTCAGGAAAAAAATTAAAAGAAAAAAGTTGTCAATATGAAAGTATTAAGCAGAAAAAACGATAACTTTAAGATATATATATATATATATATATATATATATATATATATATATATATATATATATATATATATATATATTGGAATACTATATTTGATGGGATAAATTTGAACAGGGATGCCACATGCAACAAAAAAATGTTCTAGGAGTATAACATTTCAGATTAAGATTACTTTATCGAAATAAACAAAATAAAAATTATATACGGGTTAAATAGTCATTTTAATTTATATGAAAATAAACCTTCTTATAAGAAGCATTAACTAAAAAATATGATAAAATCAAAATATTGGTATTTAGTTTATTGTTAAAATGGTTTGTTATTTTTCAAGGGTAAAATGGTCATGTGCTTACTGTGGTTGAGAAAATTGGATAAGAAAAATACTACATCAAATAATTAACATGTTGACAAAATCTTGCAGCTCAATTCCATCAAAATTCGTGATTCCTATAAACATTTATGATTAAGAGAAAAAGATTGTAATTGAAAACTTATCCAAAACCTTCATGTTCCCCTTCAATCCTAAGAGATGCAAAATTTTGTTTTTCCGATTGTATAAAACATGATATTATTTTTATAAATAAGTTTCTGAATTCAAAAAAAAAAAAAAAAATGGAAAAAGAAGTGGGCACATTTTCCCTCACTTAACCCTTTCCATTCCATTTCTATTTCCAACATCATTTTTACACTTACCCTGCCTTATACCACTAAAACGCTAAAGTCCCATGGCAGGTCAAACCCTAAAGTCAACTCTAGCCCCATAAAAAACTATTTCATCCGAAATCAAGAATCTGCAACAAAAAAAAAACAACACATTCTGTAAGTCTTTGTATACCCTTTTAAAACTGTTCAAGGAAAATTTCAATAGCGAAAAAAAAAATGGATTAGTGAAAAACATACCATTCTAAATCTGTTATGTATCAAATTAAAGCAACTCATTCCCTCTCAAACATTTAGCCAAATAACAGACAAATAAAAAAATAAGAAAAAGAATGACTGTTCTTTAAAATGTTCACATGGCTTAATAAAAAAAGTTTCAATACTTTAATATAAAGAAGTGAAAAACGGCACAAATATTTGAGTGCCTTAGAACATCCTAATTCCAGCAAAATTGTATATATTTCCATATTTTCCATCTTCAACTAAAGAAGGTGTTGTTGTTCTATACATACCATAAACAACAAATCAAAGAATTGGGATCAATACTCCAAGCTAGATATCCAAAAAAAAAAATATATAAATAAATAAAAAATGTGTGCATAGGAGAAAAAAACCCGACTAAAACCTTGTATTCATACTGTCGCTAAGAAAACTGTAATCAACATTCATTTTCAAAATAAGTTACAAACTTCAACAAATATCATTTCAAACCCAAATACTTTCTATAAAGAACAACATTATAAAAAAAATCTGCATAAATTATTACTTCAGTCGGTGAATAATTGTGTGCATTTGATTTTAACTGAAATGAATAAGAAGAAAAAACAAATCAGGTCTATGATGATCTTTATTGGAGAAACCTAAACATATTTTACCAACTGTTGATTCACTCACCAACCATTTTCGTAGTGCATAATTACCTCCCACGTGTGAAAATGCATCCAATGCATTGATCCCTATGTTGAAGAATGTGACCTACAACAGTCATGATTAATTGCAAAAAGATTAAGGTGTTGTTTGTTTTTTGGAAAAAAACCTCTTCAAACCTCTTACTGCTGCGTGGCGCAGCACACGTGCAGCACTTTTCATCTCGCAGTTGTTTGTTTTTTAGAAGTCTTCTGAGTCAAAAACCTCTGCGCAGGCTCTGTTTGGCGCAGCACTTGTACTGCCTCTTCTAACTTCTTCCAACATCTTCTTCTTTTTTTATTGCTGAAATTTTGATTATATGTTATTAAAATTTTATTTCACATTTTTTTTCCGTTTTTTTTTCGTTTATTCTTATTGAATTTATTTTTCATTTTTTTTATATTCAATAATGATAATTTCTTGATGAAATATCATTATTTTTTACTAAAATATCTTTATTTTTTGTTGAAATATCATTCTTTTTTACTGAAATATCATTAATTTTTACCGAAATGTTATACATTATTAAATTTTACGTATTAAAAAGCTATTTTCGGTTTATAAAATTAGTTTATTTTAATTTTTTAATATCTGCAGCAGTATGTAGATGTTAAAAAAACAAACACGCTTCTTATTATAGTCTGCAGCCGTTTGGTCCACTTCTTCTACCGCAAAGGGTTGCAGAAGTGGTCCGCAGACTTCATGAATTTTTGCTTCAGAAAATCAAACAGCACCTAAGTAAGGAATAGAAGTATCAGTTAAGAATGTTAGGGCATGTTTCGAAGTGGAAATCCGGAATTCCAGATTTCATTCCACCGTGTGGTCAGTATATTTCCGAACATTACATTCCCTTCTAGCGTCAAAACCCCTGAAAACATAGATAGCAGAAAGATTAATTAGATAAAATAAAGCCCTTAAGTCCTAACTCCTTACAGAAAAGCAACAAAACAAAAATGTCAACAAAATTTTTAGCTTAAACCATTTATCAGGTTCTTAGTTTCTTACCAACAGCTTATTTGATGACATCCACGTCTAATTAAAAGCCATATCCTACCATCTTAAGTAGAAATAGGTGGATATCCCCTCTAAAATTCAATAATCAATCATATATAACATACATGTTACCATGTATACCTCGCCATATAAGTCTATGATTTTGCATAACCACAAAGAACAATTTTACAGTGTTTTCTAAACTTTTTGACACATTTTACTTATAGGTTGCACAATGTTTATGCTTAAAAGTCAAGAGCAATGGTTGTAAAAGCTCATGTTTTGCTAGTGTGTTTTTTTAAAGCCAAAATGGTTGTTTTGGTATAAAATGTTAAATATTGTTGTCCATACAAAGGTAGAGCACGTAATAATTTTTTTTTGAACAGCCTTCTAAATTGTAAAGAAAGGCAACAAAAATGTTCAAATAAATTTAACATGCTGCAAATAATAATAAATAAAAAAAAAATAGTAAGTGTTTGATTACCCAAGGTGTAGGCACTGACAAAAAAGGTTTTCTGTTGACATGTATCAAACTTGTAATTAAAAATGAAACTTTGTTGCCCACCATGGTATGAAAACAAAAAATGAAAATGAAAATAAAACATGAAAAATGTCACTTGAAAGCAACAATATAAACCAATTTTAGCCATAAAAATTTCATAACTTAAATAATCGAAAGCTGAAAATCCCTTAATATAAAGTGAAACTGTATTGTTAATTATGACTATTAGCCATAAAACATACATAACAAAACTTACTTGGTTGCAACTTAACACACACAACAACCACTGGCATTTTGTTTCTACAAATTGGTGATTAAGATAGTATGTTGCTGTCTTATACCCATCTCCAAAAAATGTGATAAACAGACCTGCATAAAAGCGAAGTAAATTCTACATCATTAAAAGTAGGTCGATTGCCAATTTTAGACATGAAAAGATAGAAATATAGGAAAGGATTGAAGCAGTTAAAACTTAATATCTAACACTTTAAATGATGAACCATAAGCAGAGAAACATTAATAGAACTAAAAAAATCAATGTTATGTAACTGTGGCAAAATTTGGAAACTTCAAAGTTAAATAGGGTTCCCAATCGGATTTCTATACCATACCTTAAACTAAAATCCTTCCTATTATCTCTACTCCCAACCAAAATCATAGCCAAAACAAACAAAATCAATTGTCTTTTATATTTTAAATAAAAAACATGCTTCACAGAACAAAAATAAACATTCAAAATCTAAAAAATAACCTCCTGTTGGGTAAACATTTTAGAGTTAACATATGTTGGGAAATTGATCTAAGAAAGGGAAGAAAATTTGGAAATAATATGTTACCTAGGATCTTTAACTTCTACTTTTATAGTAGCGGACTCTTTCAAGTTTTGAGTGTCTGATACATTGTTATTTTTTGCAGTGTAATCTGAAAAGCAACGTATTTAATATAAATGTTAAAAGAACAGAAGCTATAAACTTTTTAGGGTGGGGTACATGTTAGGATATAATTATTGTAGTTATTTTGTAATTAAAAAAAAAGTTGGATGATGATTTACTGTGTAAATGTGAAGTAACACGTAAGAATTTTCTTGATCTGTTCCAGCAAATTCTGTTGTCTATTAAAAATAAAATAAAAATATTTTTGTTAAAAGTTTATCGCAAATGAATTTGCATATATAATTATCTCAAAGTAACCAACTGCAACTACCTGTTTGAACCAACTCCTGGATATAACTATAAAATGTCGAATGAGCGAAGTAAGTCCACCTGAAAAAACATCACAACTCAATAACTCTGAAAATTTCCGAAATTTTTTTGGTTAAAACTTAAATAAAATGAAGCAAAAATTTTAAAACCGAAATAAAAAACACAAACAAATAAGAAAGACAAAAATATATACAGACTTGGAGTTTTATTACAAATCAAGTTTTCTAGCAATCTGAGAACAGTATAGAAATGTTTTCTTCCAATTTCTTATGATTTCTTCAGTTTTCTTCCATTTTTTTGAGTTTCTTATAGTTTATTGACAATTAGAAAGCAAAGCTACTTACAGGAACCTTTCCAATAAAGCCCTTCACCATGTTAACACAAATAGAGTGATTCGGTTTCAGGAAAACAGTACAAAAATGAAGAGTTATATGAAGCAATCTAACCATTAGGACCTGAAATGACTGCGCCCAAGTAACCCATCTAACATTGTTGCAGATTGGAGAGACATATTGCTTGATGGAATTGGCACTGTAGCATGTAAAAAGGATTTATTAAAAAAGTAAAAATAGTTAAAAGAGAAGTAGCCACATACCCATATTCACTAGATGCATACTCCATGGATTTATAACCCAAAAAACACCAGCTAGGCCTGGATTCAAAATCAATCCAATGAAATGATTCCCATTATTTCACAAATAACTCATTCCATTTTGTAAAGAGAGTTTTTCATTCCAACAGAATATTAAACCATTGTTATCAAAATCGTCAGGCTACTTAAATCATCAAGCACCACCAGATGAACATATCAAAAATCTCATTTTTCAATAGAAAACCGTTTTTGCAGTAATATTAGAGCAAATGGGAACCACATAATCTGATATTAGTTTCACTTCGGCATTTCCACAAACAGTTTGCATGCATTAGAAACAAATAAGAATAAAGAAGCAAAGAAATTGAGAAATACCTTGTAACAGAATCCAAAAACGTAGGCAACAGTTGAAGCTGAAGTTGAAGCTGCCAATTGTGCCTTTCGGGATCTGTATCAACGAACCAAAGTCATTTGTGTGTGGGTTATCTTGCGACACCAAATCCGAAACCCTAGCCAGAAGACAATTTGGAATTGCATACTTGTGTAGGAGCGAGTCAGTCGACCTAAAATTGCAAAAGTCGAACACCCACCCTAAAAACCCTAATATTGCTCGATCGACCATCGTTTCCCCAAAACCGAATGACGACTCGGAAGAAGGGGATAGATGAAGCATAGCAGAACCGGATCTTAGTGTAGTGTATGAAATCGGTGGCAAACCTGGAACAAACGTCGGTGGTGGAGTGTATGAAATCGGCGACCATCTGAACTGGATCCGAGGATGACTTCCCTGAGGTGGTGAGGCGATGGAAGGCGATGAGGTAACGTCGATAAGATGAGAGGCGGTGGAGTAATAGAAGAAGTAAACATTCAAAGTGATTGAAGGTTTTGAGTGATCGGTGGAGGGATTAAGCGGTGGAGATTGCAGACAAAAAAGAATGAAAAAGAAAATGTATCTAAAGCGGTGAAAGAAGGAAGGGTAGGTAGCGGGGATTTAACTAACCACGACAGATTAACTAACCCAAAGAACAGTATCATGGTTAGGCACTATTCCTAAGAAATGCTCCCCTTTAATATATATATATATATATATATATAATATATATATATATATATATATATATATATATATATATATGATAATCGAGGATGAACGTGATCTTGACGCACCAATTGAAGTTGCAAGAGAAGTGTCACCGATAGAGGTTGAATTGACGACTAGATGAAGAAAGTCAATTCCAACAATTTCTTGCTCGATATAAACGTATTAAAGATAAAGAAGCACACTTCAGTCTGCGAAATGCGTTAGTTGATCATTTGTAGGAAATTTATTCCAATGCATAAATATATTATCTATACATGTATAATATTTATTTAAAAGTATGTATGTTTAATATTTATATAAATGTATGTAAAATATTTATTTAAAAGTGTGTATGTGTAATATTTTTATAAATGCATGTATAATATTTATTTATAAGTGTATTATAAATATAATATTGTTTATTTAATATTAATGTAATGAAAAAAATATAAATTATATATTTGTTAAAACTAAATTGGTAGAGGGGTGTGTTTGACATTTTATCTAAGTTGGCATAATAGAATATATTTGGAATATATTTTTTGGAGTTAAAAAATGGAGTAGGATTGGAGATGAAACACTATTTACCCTATTTTACTATTTACTTTATTTTTTACTCCATTTTTAGGAAAAAAAATAAGGATGAGTTGAAGATAGGTCTAAAAGCCCCATTCACTGCATTTGTATTACTTGGATCATTAAGTAACTTCATTAAGAATTGAAGCGCCTGAGGTCACTGATCTGGCCAATCATGAGAAGCCACTGATGTTACTGCCATACTAATATAGCTGGCATGTTTTCTATGAGGGACGTCTAGTGAGAGTAACAAAAAGACTACATATAAATATATAATTGCCTCATAACGTAAACATCATACAATTAGGAATATTGGGTGCAATAAAAGGAATAGCGAAAATAATAACTTGAAAAAAGGTGACATTTTCCTCATTTGAAATAACATGATGTTCAAAATCAAGACCAAGAATTTCTATTGATTATTACAATATCTATGTAACGCCCAACAGAATTTGGAAATAAAGTTAACCTATTAAAATGCTAGCATATAATAATTGAGAACCAAAATTTAGAAGAAAAAAAGAGAGAACATTATTAACATAATAAGTATTGTCATGGTAGGGCAAGACTACTGTTTATTTTTCTAAGGGGGTGTTTGGATAGGAAAAAAAAATGTTTATTGCTTATTCTCACAATATTTTTCTAAGGGGGTGTTTGGATAGGAAAAAAAAAAAAAGAGGTGTTTATTGCTTATTCTCACAATAAGCTAATTTAAATGTTTGAATAAAATCCAACTTATTAGGCTAAATAAGATAATTTTAATAAGCATTCATCCTCATTCTTATTGCTTATTTCTTATTCCTACCACAAATAAACTATAAGCAATAAGCTAAAAATCTAATCCAAACACCCACTAAAACTTAATGAAAATATTCAGATTTAGATCCTTTAAATGTGTAGCTTGGAGAGTAACTATCAACTCACATAAAAGTAAATATTCTCAAAGGCTATGTCTAAAAGTTGTTATATATGAACGTAAATATTCTCAAAAGCTGTGTCTCAAAGTTTTTATATATGTATTCTAGTTGTTAGATTCATATATTACATGAGTTAATTTAAAAAAAAATAAATAAATAATGAATTATCGTAATAGAAATATTTATTATCTTTTAAATTTTAACAAATAATTTAAATAAATAAAAGAACTAATGAGCTTTAATTTTGAAAATTTTGAAATTAAAAGGTAATTCATTAATAAAATTGATATAAATTTATTACTAAATTTGTTACAATTTCACATTAAAATATTATATGAAAACTATGTGTGAGACCTATGTATTACATGAGTTTATTTAAAAAAAAATGAAATTTTAACAATTTGAGAAGTTTGAATTTATAAAAAAAAAATAAGAAAAAATTTAAATTATTAAAATTAATGAGGCTTTAATACATTAAATACATTACATATATATAAATCATTTCTAATAAATAACTTACATATATATTATTTTACATATTAAATGTGAAATTTTAATTTAATAAAATGATAAGTGTAAAATAGAAAATTCAAAAATTTTAGAAAATGTCATGTGTCCAAATGAATGAGAAGAATACATGTGACAAAAAAAATCATTTAGATTAATAAAATAGAAAAACTAATAAAATGACATGTGGAAAAAAAATTAATTCAACCATAAAATAACATTTAACAAATTGAATAAGAATGTGATAAATGACAAAAAAAAAACATTCATTTATTAGAGTAGATATTAGGTTATCATCTGAGTGATATACAATTGACAACAATAAGACCCAAATGATAAAAAAAAAAACAATTTATTTAATGATATTGCAAACAAATATTTTACGACAAGCTGAAAACATATACTATATATATATATATATATATATATATATATATATATATATATACTGTTGTAAAACTCGCCGAGCTGACCGATTACTCCTCCGAGTACTCGTTACTCAGTCCTTTACCGAGGCGAGTTACAGAATCCCGAGTATTTCCCGATCGCCCCCTTACCGAACTGAGCGATGTTGTAAAACCTGGTCAACTCGGTGATTAATATGTATAATATACTTAATAACTTATTATTTAACACACACACACATTCGATTATTACTACATATATATCTTAAATTTTCGTAATTATCCATGAAGTGAGACTATTATGTGTTTTTCAGTTTTTGTGTATTCACAAGTATCTAATTTTGTTATATATTTCAATCAACTTATGATTTTAACATATATATAATTTCCCTACAAATAATTCCACATGAATTACTGAATCCGAGTACTCCCCGAATACTCGCTACCCGGTACTCGGTCGAATAGGTACCGAGTAACGAGTTCTACAACCTTATATATATATTATATATATATATAATATATATATATATATATATATATATTCGGCCGAATAGGTACCGAGTAACGAGTTCTACAACCTTTTATATATATATATATATATATATATATATATATATATATATATATATATATATATATATATATATATATATATATTAAAGTCTTATAAATTTTAAATAATATTCAATTGGGTGCCAAAAAGACGAATATTAATTTTTTTTTGGCTATGCAAACTATATAAGCTATATACGTAGAATATACAAACAGATAGAAACTCGAATGACAATATTCGAATTGAAAATAATTGATTTATAAATAAATGATTGAAATTTGGTTTTGAAGAATATAAATCAAGGACATCAATTTATTTACGAATATTGTCTAATTAATATCTTATGATATTTAATTACAATGTCTCAAGAATTTCCAATTTGATATACTCAAATGTAAGGGATTTAACTTTAAATGAGTTTAGCAAGTTTGATATTTCTTAATATTAGGGGATTTGAAATTTGAAAGACATACAAAAAAAAAAAAAAAAAAAAAAAAAAAAAAAAAAAAAAAGACTTGGGAAAAGATGTCATGTTTACAACATATAGTTTAACAAAGTGACGAATGGTTAGTTTAGGTTTTGTTTACTAAAAGATATATATATATATAGTAACGTCCGTTGATCCAGGTTAGTTAATTTAGAGATAATAGTGGTCGAAAACGATTTTTGGACAAAAAAAATTATTTTGAATACATAATCTTAACTAAGTTGTAAAATATGTCTCAAGGGTTTCGTGCATATAAAGAACGCCGAAATCCGAGTTATAACGAAGAAGTTATGGTCCGTCGAAGTTTTACGGCAAAACTGTCACGACACCGGGAGACGTAAATAGTGAATTTACGATATATTGATTTTAGCATTAGCGATTTGAACGTAAGTCCTAGAATATGTTAAATCGAGAACATCCATAAAAAGAACGCTTAAATCTGACTTCGTATGAGTAAGTTATGATTTTTCTAAGATTCGGCTTAACACCCGAAACTCGAATTTTAGTTCGAGCGGTTTTTGGCTTGCGCGACCTAAATGAGGGTTGAAGATATCATTTGTAACGCCTGTGTTTCTGGGCTTGCCATTTTTATCAATGTAATGGTTTAGGTTAACCTTTGTAACCCGTTTTGAAATAATATAAGTGTATTATTCGAGTATTATGTGTTTTGTGCTTAATTGCTTAATTATGTGGTTTGATTAATTAAGAATAAAAATAAGCGTCAAAATTTAAGTGTAAAATAAACTTGATATCTTTAGATAATGCTGTAGTAGTTGAAACAAGGTTTCCGAAGATATAAAGAATGCCGAAATCCGAGTTATAACGAGGAAGTTATGACTTGTCGAAGTTTCGCGACAGAACCGGCAACGCTGAATAACCTAAAAAGTGAAATTTACGTTAAAGCGATATTTAGCCTTAGTGATCTAAACGAGAATCGAAGATCTCGTTGTTAGTATCAAAGCGATTTGGGTGGTCGTTGATCGATTCACTAAGAGTGCGCATTTCATAGCCACCAGGGAGAAATGGTCTATGGAAAAGCTTGCGAATTCTTACGTAAAGGAAATTGTAAGGCTTCACGGTGTTTCGTTAACAATTGTGTCGGATCGTGATAGTCGGTTCACCTTGCGATTTTGGAAAAGTCTACAAGAGGAATTGGGTACCAAGTTATGTTTAAGTACAGCTTACCATCGCAGACTGATGGTCAGAGTGAAAGAACGATGCAAACACTTGAAGATATGCTGAGAGCATGTACCTTGGAGTTCCTAGGTAATTGGGATGAACATTTACCGTTGGTAGAATTTTCCTATAACAATAGTTTTCACTCGAGCATTAAGATGGCACCTTACCAAGCTTTGTATGGACAAAAGTTTCGTACGCCGTCTTGTTGGCTTGAGGCTGGGGAAAAGCAGTTTATGGGACCGGAGATGGTTCATCAAACTGTTGAAAAGTTGAAAATAATTAGGGAAAGAATGTTAGCAGCTCAGGATCGTCAAAAGAGCTATGCTGACAA